CTCAGAGGATGCATGGTTTCAACAGGGTACATAGGATGCATGGTTTCACCAGGATACAAAGGATGCATGGTTTCACCAGTGTGCAGAGGATGTATGGTTTCACTAGGGTACAGAGGATGCAAGGTTTCCCCAGGGTGCAGTAGATGCACGGTTTCGCCAGGATACAAAGGATACATGGTTTAACCAGGATACAAAGGATGCATGGTTTTACCAGGGTGCAGAGGATGTATGGTTTCACTAGGGTACAGAGGATGCAAGGTTTCCCCAGGGTGCAGAGGATGCATGGTTTCACCAGGGTGCAGAGGATGCAAGGTTTCACCAGGGTGCAGAGGATGCAAGGTTTCACCAGGGTGCAGTGGAAGCATGATTTCACCAGGGTGCAGAGGTGCAAGGTTTCACCAGGGTGCAGAGGATGCATGGGTTTACCAGGGCTCAGAGGATGCATGGTTTCAACAGGGTACATATGATGCATGGTTTCACTAGGATACAAAGGATGCATGGTTTCATCAGTGTGCAGTAGATGCACGGTTTCGCCAGGATACAAAGGATACATGGTTTAACCAGGATACAAAGGATGCATGGTTTTACCAGGGTGCAGAGGATGTATGGTTTTACCAGGATACAAAGGATGCATGGTTTCACCAGGGTACATAGGATGTATGGTTTCACCAGGATACAAAGGATGCATGGTTTCACCAGTGTGCAGTAGATGCACGGTTTCGCCAGGATACAAAGGATACATGGTTTAACCAGGGTGCAGAGGATGTATGGTTTCACTAGGGTACAGAGGATGCAAGGTTTCCCCAGGGTGCAGAGGATGCATGGTTTCACCAGGGTGCAGAGGATGCATGGTTTCACCAGGATACAAAGGATGCTAGCTTTCACCAGGGTGCAGAGGTTGCATGGTTTCACTAGGGCGCAGAGGGTGCATGGGTTCACCAGGGTACAGAGGATGCATGTTTTACCAGGGTACAGAGGATGCATGGTTTCGCAAGGATAAGAAGGATGTATGGTTTTACCAGGGTGCAGAGGATGCACGGTTTTACCAGCATGCAGAGGGTGCACGGTTTCACCAGGGTGCAGAGGATGCAAGGTTTCACTAGGGTGCAGATGATGCATGGTTTCAGCAGGGTGCAGATGATGCATGGTTTCACCAGGGTGCAGAGGATGCATGGTTTCACTAGGGTGCAGATGATGCATGGTTTCACCAGGGTGCAGATTATGCATGGTTTCACAAGGGTGCAGATGATGCATGGTTTCACCAGG